CTTAAGATGCTCTTAGGGTTGCCAGGGCCTGAACAGATAAATAGGACTTGGAGAAGAAAGGTAACATTCAAGTCTTACACTTTATCATAGAATCATAGGACTGGAAGGGACCTCAAGAGGTCATCGAGTCCAGCCCCCCGCCCTCAAGGCAGGACCAAGCTCCGTCTACACCATCCCTGACAGATGTCTATCTAACCTGTTCTTAAATATCTCCAGAGAGGGAGATTCCACCACCTCCCTTGGCAATTTATTCCAATATTTGACCACCCTGACAGTTAGGAATGTTTTCCTAATGTCCAATCTAAACCTCCCCTGCTGCACTTTAAGCCCATTACTCCTTGTCCTGTCCTCAGAAACCAAGAGAAACAAATTTTCTCCTTCCTCCTTGTGACACCCTTTTAGATATTTGAAAACCACTATCATGTCCCCCCTTAATCTTCGTTTTTCCAAACTAAACAAGCCCAGTTCATGAAGCCTGGCTTCATAGGCTTCTCTAGACCTTTTCTTTCTTGAAATGTGGCGTCCAGAACTGGACACAGTACTCCAGCTGAGGCCTAACTAGTGCAGAGTAGAGTGGCAGGATGACTTCACGAGTTTTGCTTACAACACACCTGTTGATACAACCTAGAATCATATTTGCTTTTTTTGCAGCAGCATCACACTGTTGACTCATATTCACCTTGTGGTCCACTATGACCCCTAGATCCCTTTCCGCCATGCTCTTTCCTAGACAGTCGCTTCCCATCTTGTATGTATGGAACTGATTGTTCCTTCCTAAGTGGAGCACTTTGCATTTCTCTTTATTAAACTTCATCCTGTTTACCTCTGACCATTTCTCTAACTTGCTAAGGTCGTTTTGAATTATGTCCCTATCCTCCAAAGAAGTTGCAACCCCACCCAGTTTGGTATCATCTGCAAACTTAATAAGCGTACTCTCTATCCCAATATCTACATCATTGATGAAGATATTGAACAGTACGGGTCCCAAAACAGACCCTTGCGGAACTCCACTTGTTATCCCTTTCCAGAAGGATTTAGCACCGTTAACAAAAACTCTCTGACTACGGTTATCCAGCCAATTATGCACCCACCTTATCGTGGGCCTATCTAAGTTATATTTGCCTAGTTTATCAATAAGAATATCATGCGAGACCGTATCAAATGCCTTACTAAAGTCTAGGTATGACATCCACCGCTTCTCCCTTATCCACAAGGCTCGTTATCCTATCAAAGAAAGCTATCAGATTAGTTTGGCATGACTTGTTCTTCACAAACCCAAACACTTTAATTAAAGTGTCTCCTGGCAGGCCTAGTTATCAACAAAGAAAAACCTAGCTAAACCTTCCACAAACAGAAACAAAGGTAAATTCTAATAGAAATACGAGAGCCACTATGAAAGCCTGAAGTAGAGATAATATCGAAGTTGTAGTAAAACTTTGATAAATCAATCATAAATCTAGCAGAAAACAAGAGTTATTTCATCCACTTGAGGCTCCTCAGACTTGCAGTTTTTGCTAGTTTGAGATGTAATAAATGTTTTGCTTCATCGTACTTTGGTAAGAAAAATTACTTACAAATATCTGGAGTTCTCTGAAGCTAATGGTTTTCAGAGGACACACACAATGCCTGACAAATCCAGGACCAATTTAAAGCAATGCACACCCTGACTTGTGGAAGCAAATTCTCCAACAGAAGACTTGTACCTCCTACAGTTCATAGATTTCTTTTGCCAGTAAAAGTAGCCATGGAACTATCTACTCCCTCTTTTCTTAATGCTGCCCACCTCAGGTTTTAGTCTATATAGTCTCTGTTTAATTAGATAACGTTAACATAATTTGGTAATTTTGGAGCTTTTTAAAGCTTCTTGTTCCCATCTCAATCTAAAAATAGTAGCTCTGGGGAAGGCTAGTGATAAGATGTCATAACAGATCAGCATGCAAAATTTCTGTAGTAAAGGGTACTTCCTCTGAGATTACTTAAAACTGCCTGGCCTTTACCAGTTGGAACAGATGTGAATGTAAAATGAGACCTAATGTCATCCTATTCTATCATATGAATATGCACAGGCACTTCTGTGATAGCAAAAATATTTTTCCTGTGCAATTTAATTTGTTTTTGCTGCTAAAAAACAACCACTTTAGTCCCACCGGTTCAAATTTCAATCATGCAAAAAGCTTTCATCTACAGTGAGTTGCTCATGCCAAATTCAAGAATACATGAACACAGGAGTCTCCGGCAGAGCTGACTGATCAACATTGTTTAGAATTCTCAAATTATAGTTTTTAGAGTTGTTCTTGAACATCACAACTTGAATGCTCAAATCCTGCAAAGACTTCTGCACATGACTAACTTAATAAAGGAGTGATCTCAGTGAAGTAATAGCTATTATGGTCAAATTATTGATGTCTATGGCATTATTCACATCTATAAAGTCATCCATCTAAGCAGTATAATAATTGAGCATAAGACTGTAAACTGTTCAGAATATTACCAAGTTTTCTTCTGCATCTGGAAGACACCTGGCACTATAGCAACAAAAACAAATTTTTTTTTATATATAATAATATTATCTTGGTTGAGATGTCATCATTTCCAGCTTTGCACTGTGAAGATATTGCTAATTTATTCCAGCAAAATTTTGTCATTTTTGTAGTGCAGTGCCACTCAACAATTGCAAAAACTGACTCGTTTTTTTCACAAATGGCCAATTATTTTAAGGTAAAACAGTGAAATGCTTTGCTTTGGCAAAACTATAATGTTTCACTAGTAATCCTGATATCTTTGTCAGCCTGCAACTCTCTGCAGGCTTCCACACATATGGAGCATAACCACAAGTTTGTAATGAAAAGTTGCCTTAAAAATACTGGAAATTAACTTAGCACATGTAAAAATCACAAAACAAAATGGTCATGTCTTATATAAAAAGTACATGTATAAACAGCTTACAAAAGGTTAAATGATCAAAAGATCTTATAGACATGAATAGCATGGATTATAGCTTTAAGCACATCAGCAGAGTGTGTAAAAGATGGTTATAAACAACTTATTGACCCGTTGAACTATGTAACAATTGATTAACTATTTATTAAAGCATATCTCAATCATTTTTAAATCTTACTATGTATAAATGTATCTTTAATATACAGTGTGTCTACTAAATCATACTTCCCTGCCATATTTTGCTGGGAAAATATATTCTGTAGGATAATATCTAAGATTCTTATGTCATAAAGCTTTGTTAATAGAGATAGAGTGTTTGCTGCAGCATTACAAAACTTCCTGAAAAGGCTTTCAGTTATGGCCTATTCTTTCTTAGTTGTGGAAAAATACAACAAAGAATGCCTGGATTTAAAATGAAGAGAACTCTTGCAGTTCCCTGCCAACCTAATTACCATAACCTAATAACCCCCGCCAATGTACCATTTATTGAAAATGAGCCCCACCAAAATGACTACAGTACAATAGAAGCTTTAATATTTCTCAAATATACAGAAAAAAACCTCTGTTATCAAACTGATGCTAGTTTGAACTGGCTGAAGTATTGTTGCATGCACCTAGCTCCGTCCAGGTATCAAGGGCCCCAAGAGACTCCCATGGGCCTTAATAACCCTCCTACACAATAAGCAACTGTGCAAATTTTTAAAAAATTATAAGTTCTATTAGCCAAGTAGTCTTGTCTAATATGACTGGGTGATGTGCAAACAGTATCTCCAACAGGAGATACCACATATGTGCTGACTAAGAATGTTAAAGACTAGTTGACTATCTTATAAGCATTTGCTTATCGGATAGTTTTTTGACTAGTCAACAGGCACTTCCACATTCCTCCTTTGAAATGTACAAGAGCCCCAGTGGGACTCCACATATAGCCCGGAACCAGCAGGAAGTCCTGTTGACTTCGGGCTGCACGAGGCGTTCCTGCTTTGAAATGCACAAGAATCCCCAGTGGGGGCTCTTGTGCATTTCAAAGCCACGGAGCCCAGGATCAGCAAGGGACTCAGAGTCCCCCTCTAACCCTAAGGTTCCATGCTACACTGCATGCTGCTAGGAGCCTGGGGTCAGCTGGGGACTCCCTCTGCTAACCACAGTTGGATTGCCAACAATCATGTTACCCTCTGAGCCAATGTCCAAGTCATTACAGAATATTTGTTCCTCACATAGGTTACTGAGTAGTTCCAAGCTTGAGGAAAAGAGCCTTTTATGAATGAAAAAATATCCATTTAAGGTTTCAGGCATGAAGCAACCAATATCAAGTCCAATGGACACACATATTTCTGGATTATAGGGAAAATATATTTTCTAAAAGTCCCAGTCTTCAAACTTTGAAAATAGAGTCCTATACAACAAGAAATTTCATCCAATAGCAATAGACATGCACCCTAAATTGATTTCACATGCAGAAGACCAAGAAAAAGATACAAATTAATGGGGATGTGAATGACTAGTCAACACGCTAGCTGACTAGTCACTTCTAACCCCTCCTTGCTGCCTCTATCAGAAAAAAGCAGCGGGGATGGGGGGCAGGATGGGGTGGTTTAAAGCAACAGCACTGTGTAGAGCCTGGGCCCAGATCCTGGGCTCCACTCAGCACTGCCACTTTGAAATGCCACATGCAGCCCGGAGCCCCCATCTGGCCTGGGCTCCATGCAGCATTTCAAAGCGGCAGCATCGCGTGGAGCCCGGGGTCTGCTGGGGACTCCCCAACTGACCCCGGGCTCCATGTGGCACTGCTGCTTTGAAGCGCTGCAGGGAACATGAGGCCAGCAGTGGACTGCTTGAGTTCCTTGCCGGCCCTATACTTCCCGCAGCGCTTTCACCTTTCAAGTGTAACAAAAGCCCTTATCAACTAATTGAATATTCAATGCAAACTGTATTGAATATCCGATTAGCCAATTATTCAAAATTTTACATCCCTACAAATGAACAAAAAATTAGAAAATAGGCCAAAATTTATTTTTAAAATACACTTAGTCAACATGTAATACATGATGCTTACTTACAGTTCTTCTCCTTGTTTTGCCTTCTTGTCTGAAACCAGATAGACCGTTCCAAAGCTTCCTCTGCCAAGTTTCTGCTGAAGAACATATCTTCTTGCAATCAAGATTTCAGAGCAGGTGGACATAGGTGTGGAACCACTAACTGGCTTGAGAGCCTCCTGGAATTTCAGCATTTCTCCATGCAACAGAGATCACATTTATTTGTTTATAACATAACTTTCAAATTCAAGTTCCCTTAGCAATGCTCCTATTCTTCCAGTGATGTTCAAAGGACTACACCTAAAACAGAAAAAGAGATTAAATTTTGATCTATTCATTCTTGGAAATGGACTTCCAACACTCCTGTCATCTGAAGAAGTGGGTTGGGCCCACGAAAGCTCATGATACTATCTACATGTTTTGTTAGTCTTTAAGGTGCTACTAGACTATTTGTTGTTTTTAAAGTTTTTCCTATTAAATGTTATGTAATACTTTAAAATATTAACAAGATGTTCAGGCTGTTAATTATAACACCACACCTCAGCCATCATCTTGTCACATACAAGCTAAAGAGAATCATTAGTGGTCAATTAGGGATGGGAGACTTCATGGCTAACACCAAATACTCAGAAGACATGTTGTCGATTTCATACATGTCATTCTGCCTACTGAGTCAGGGGGAAATTGTGGGGGGAATTGTGAAACAGAAAGGTTTGTTCATGCAGTGATTAAAGATGTATGATCTGATCTCTTTATCACTGCATCTGCTACTAGGGATGTATGTATTAGAGGGGCACCACCACCTTTCAGGTTTTTTACAACTGTGTCAAAATGCTTTGTTAAACACATGAAAATGAAATTATATTTTGTAAAAAGAGAACCAATAAATATTACTGTAAAAGCTTCATAATGCCTGGCTGGAAGCAATAATTTTCCATCTCTACCCATTCCAGAGCCATTATGAAGATTATATAACAATAATACACTGTATACCTGAAATTATTTTAACATCCATATGTTGAGATGTTGGCTCATACTATGCCAATGGGTTAATTCTGAAGCATAGCCAATTTCTAACAACCATAAGTCATTTTCACAAATTACATGTATTCTTAAAATAAAAACAAAATAAGATTACAGAAAAATTTCTGATTCTGTATTTGCCGTTCAGTATCAATGGTGACAAAAATTATTTTTGAAAAGCAAATAGTAAGCAAAGAGTGACAGCAGGAAATTCTACAGCTTCCATAGCTCCCAACCTGTTTTACCAAGCATGAAAGACACTGGAGAGACTGATATGTAAAAATTAATCAAATACAATTTTAGGAATCTGTCATGAGAAAGTACAGGTTGGACTTCCCTGGTCTGGCAGCCTCAGGACGTGACTGGTCCCAAATGAGAGAATTTGCAAGACCAGGGACGGTTCTCTGCCACCAACTCTCAAGCCCACTTCTGCTCCTAGCTAGCTACCACCTCACTAGGCACTTAGCCTCTGCCACCGCCTTCACCTGCCCCCACTCAACCAGCTGCCGCCGGATCCCCAGCTGTCTGGGCTGCCACAGGCTCTGGTTCCTGTCCCACTTGCCACAGGCTGCCAGGAGCGGATATGGGGTTCTGGTCCCAGCCCCATGCTGCCAGCCCTTCTGGATGGCTCTCCTGCCAATTAGGCTACTGGGCTCTCAGGAGTATCTGTTGCCAAACCACAGAGTGTTGGTTTTCAGCGTTGTAACCTATATATCTATTTTAATCACACACACACACACACACACACACACACACTTAAGGTTTGTACGTTACTCTTTCATAACATACAGTGCTGTCACTTTTTTAAAATATAAGTTCATTTTAAAAGTTAATAATATATACTGGAATGTTAGTTTTGGGGCTTACCAGTAATACTTTCAGAAGATCCATTACACAGCTCAAAGCCTATATTTGGCCATTTGTTCCAGCATAAGTATGTGTACAGCATAAGTATGTGTACATAAGCAGGGGAATCACATACCAACATCTGCCATCATGTGCCAACAATGCCCCACTGCTATATACATCGGCCAAACAGGACAGTCCCTACGTAAAAGAATCAATGGACACAAATCTGATATTAGGAATGGCAACATACAAAAACCTGTAGGGGAACACTTCAATCTTCCTGGACACACAATTGCAGATCTAAAAGTAGCTATCCTGCAGCAAAAAAACTTCAGGACCAGACTTCAAAGAGAAACTGCTGAGCTACAGTTCATCTTTAAGTTTGACACAATCAACTCTGGATTAAACAAAGACTGTGAATGGCTTGCTAACTACAAAAGCAGCTTCTATTCTCTTGGAATTCACACCTCCAGATCAGCTGCTAGAAGTGGGCCTCATCCTCCTTGATTGGATCCACCTGGTCATCTCCAGCCTGATCCTGGCCTGCATATTTATTCCTGCCTCTGGAAATTTCCACTACATGCATCTGACGAAGTGGGTCTTTGCCCACGAAAGCTTATGCTCCTACACTTCAGTTAGTCTATAAGGTGCCACAGGACTCCTCATCGCTTTTGCAGATTCAGACTAACACGGCTACCCCTCTGATACTTGACAACATCACAGTGTAGACATAGCCATAGGTACCTGTATATCCCCCATTATGAGCATGGTGCCTAGTGAATAGAGCACTGGCCTGGGAATCAGGAGATTTGGTTTTATTCCTTATTCTACTGTCCACCTGCTGGGTGACCACTGGCAAGCCACCCACACCCTCACTTTCCCAAGTAAAATAGAGACAATTATAATTACCTTCAATGTAAAATGCTTTGAGATTCATATGTGAAAAGGGCTATACAAAATTATCTTAACAATATCCTTATGAAATACTAAAGTGCAACATGATACCCGCTTATAGTCAAGCATGGTCTAGGGGTCTGCACACAGGACTGAGACCTACAAACAACTTCGTTATAACTGTGTTAACTCCTTCAATGGCTTTGGTCTACAGACTCTACCTCTGTTTCCCCATTTGTAAAATTAACTAATAACATTCTTACACCTATTTCCCTCAGGACTGAGGATTAATTAACATATTTAAAGATCTTTTCCCTTTAAAATGAACTGTAAAATCAGGGAGTCAGGAAGCAACCAGCACCATGAAACTGTCAGTTGCACCTGGTCCACTATATAGACACTGCTACCCTGCAACAGTGCTGGTATTATCCACTCCTTAGATGAATGTGTTTTGTAAGCTGCTGTGAAAAACAAACAATAAGCTTCAAAATGTTGATACTGTCAAAGTTGTGACAAACTAACAATGAACTAAAATGAACCTAATAAACCATCTTGTTAGTCTTTAAAGTGCTGCATAGTCCTGTCTTTTATTTCAGCAAGAACAGACTAACACAGCTATTACTATTAACAATGAACTAGATATTCAAAGTTGACTTACCAGCCCTAGCTCACACTTGGTGGCTCTCTCTCATTTCTCCCTACAACTATTCTGTAAAAAGGCAAAAATTCAAGACAGATGCCCAGATTCTGGACCACATTTACAAAAACCCCTAGCATTTCACTAGAATAAGAGAAGCACAGAACCTTCCTCACACACCCTCAGCATTGGGCAGCGCAGGATGCAGCAACACTTGGGACAGAAAGGGGAATGTCCAAAATTCTTTACAAAGCAGCATTCAGACAGCCCCTGGAACTGTTCTAATTTATGTCAGAAAGCACACACCATTTATATGTTGCATGTCTGAGGATGAATTAGAATAAAGTTTCAACCTTAGATTTGAATGCCCTGGCTTCCCATTCAGGCACTCATACTATAGGCTCAGATTATTTCTGTGGTATCTAAGATTTGTTCATTTTGTATCTCCTTTTTACATAATCTAAACAGACTATAAAAGAATCACAGTGCATGGTGCGTGCACAGAAAGATATAGGACTGAAAGTTATTAATGCATTTTCATAAAACTATACATAGCCTCTATGGAGTATTGACTTGCTTCCCATCACCAAATCCCAGTCACCTCTGGAAAAGGCAATGGTTCACAACACACTAAACAATGGAATGAAATCTCTCTGAAAAGTGCTATGTAAAGTGGTCTATTAAGGTTTGTTCCCAAAGACCCAGCAACAGTTAAGTTTCCTAGAACTCAGTTTATCTTCCTCAAGGAAATACAGAGAAATTAACCTGCCAGGATTTGAATATACAACCTTATAGGGTGTCCCTAAACTTTGACAGAGTACAGTAAAACCTGCCACGAGCACTAGAGTTAGCAAAAGGGGTCTCTTGAAAGACATAATCTCTCTTCAAAGGTTTGCACAGCAGTAGGGATGTAAAGACTCCTAAAATAGTAACCATGTCTCTCTGTCCTGCCTGCCGCTTCCACCTCCCTCCCCAGTGCTCAGGAGCTGGGGCTGCTGCACCACGGCCTCGCCCCACCCCAGGGGCCAGAGGGAGAAAGTGAGCCCAGGCAAGGCCTCAGCCTGGTGCCCTTTCTCCCCCACCTGTCAGGGGAAGTGAGCTGTGGCTTGTGATGCTTGGCCTGGGCCCCACCCCCAGTGGCCCGGAGGGGAGAGAGCTGGAGCCGGCCTACCCTGGGCCCTGCCCGATGGCCTGGGGGGCGGCCAGGGCAGGCCAAGGCTACCACACCCCAGTCTGGCCCTCCCGGACAGCCCGGGGGAGAGCCAAGAATGACTACCACCAGAGAGAGGGGTTGGCGGGCATAGCAAGCAGGGGGCACAGCCCCCCCTCGTAACTGATTAAAATTAAATCAGTTACACCCGGGGTGTTCAACATGCTAGCCACTAGCCACATGTGGCTATTTGACCAGTTGAGTATAGCTGGTTAGCTTGAACAATGCAGCTATTTGGTCGACTGAGTGTGGTTAATTTGCTATAGCAGTAGCCACTATATTGGCAACTGCTTCAGAACTGGTTGGACACCATGAGGTTACACAGTTAAACGAGACCAGTTGGCTGCTGACCCCATGGGCTGCAGAGTTTAACTGTTAACCAGAACTGATAAGAATCAGCTTATCAGTTAACCAATTAAACTTTTACTTCCCTATAGAGAAGAGTGCCATAGTGTTCTGGGGCCTCTGCAAGTAGTCCCTTGACACAGGTGATCTCTCTTCAGAGATTCTCTAACACTAGATCTACATTATAGCTTATGGTAGCATACTTTATGTTGCTCAGAGTGGTAAATATACCACACACACACTCTCCATGTAACATAAATGATACCAATATAAGAATAGATGTAGACATTAGGATGTCAGCAAAACTGCTCTTTCTTAGATAGCTAATGCCTTTCTTGGAGACTGTAGTAATTAAGCCAACAGGAGTGCTCATTCCAATTAGCTTAGAGTAACCACATCACATATCTTAAAGCAGAGTAGCTGCATCAGTGTAGCTGTGCTAGTGCATATGTGCCTTAAGGCAGGTTTTACTGTACTTCCTGGTTATACAGCCAAACAAATAATTAGATTTGGTGGCTAGGTTATGTTTTCAGGACAATTTTGCAAACCAGGCAAACAGCATTGCCCAATAGCAGAATTTCATTCGCTCATAACAAGGCTTAGATTCAATTCAATGCTTATTGTTTTACCATTTTGATGGATATTATCCAATGTTTATTTTAAAGTATTTTTATGGTCACCGATTTACATTTTCTCAGGTGTGCCAAATTATAGGATTTAATCAATTTTTTGAGTTTTAGCTATTTAAATGTTCATAATTGTGGGAAATTATTGGCTGGTTGTGCAATAATTATTTAATGACAGTAGACAATGACATTCAAAATATTAAACCTTAAAACAATTAAAACACAGATTCTCAGTATTACATGTCAACATTTATAAAATTGACAGTTTTATTTTAAACTATGTTCTCAACCAACATTTCTCACTTTGCCTAGCTGTAAATTTCTATTATTGGAGTTTCATGAGTGTGTTATACATGACTTGACATTTATTAACAGAAATCTAATCCTTCCATGCCTAGTTAAAACAGTCTTTTTAATGATTAAGGGTACAGACTATCTTCCATATGCAGAGAGATTAAATAGACTGGGACTATTCAGCTTGGAAAAACAGATGACTGGAGGCAGGGAGGGGCACAGGCCAGGTATAATGGAGCTCTGTAAAATCATAAAGGTAGAGAAAGTGAATGGGGAAGGTGTTATTTATCTCTTCACATAACACAAGAATCAGGGGTCACTCAATAAAACTGATAAGCCTATTAATTGCTTAAAAGTAAAACAGTGATATAACTTCACAGTCAACCTGTGCAACTCACTGGTGGCAGATGTTACGAAAACCACAACTATAAATGATCAATCTAAATAAAAAAAAAGAATTAGATAAGTGCACAGGCAATAGCTCCATCAGTGGCTGTTAGCAAGACAAGCGGGGTCACAACTCCACACCCTGGAACCACCTAAGCCTCTGACTGCTCCGTGCAGCTGGCAATGTACAGCAGAGGGCGGCTCACTCAACAATTGCCTGCTGGGCTCGCTCCCGCTGAAGCACCTGCCACTGGCCGCCGTCCAAGGGCAGGATCCGGGGCTAGACAGACCAGGGGGTTCTTCTCTTCACCCCCCTTTGCACGATGCCCGCCCGCAGCGCCCTCTGACGGGATGGGGCTCGGCACTGCCGGGTGCTGCCCCCGGACCACGGGACTCCTGCCCGGGCGAGCCCGGGGCTCTGGGGTGCGGGGCCACGCTGGGCACATGGCAGTCACGTCTATTTACCTTCTCCACCCCCAGGCCCAGAGGAGGAGAGGGGGGGTCCCGGGGCTCCCCCCCCAGCCGGTAGCTGCGCGCACGGCCCGCTCCACCCTCCCGCTCGCTCCTCTCTTGGGCAGGGTCCTCTCTTCCCCTCCTTCCTTCCGCCCCCCCCCATTTGTTTGGGACTGGTCTCCTAG